TAATACTAGAGAAAAAGTCCCATGAAATAGAGATTCTATAAACCTTATAAAACTGTGCTACATCCCAGAATTGCTCAGTCTATATATAACTCATCACAGAAATCCTGTAACTGGAAACAATGAAACTAGACAGAAGGGAAAAATCTTGCTAAGGAAAGGAAAAACTATAGACAATATTCACACTTTCAGATTCCAACTGTTCCACATTCTAAAACAGTCTCTAAAGTTTTGGCTAAACAAACAGAAGCTGTTGAAAGTCATGCAAATAGTTTTCATAAATTATGTCCTAAGTACAAGAACTATAGTAATTCTTGCCACAAGAGATGATGTATCCTCTTTCTGTAGTCATTTATTTTGAAAATTTGTTAATTCCAAGCTGGATATAAGTAGCTCACACTTGTAAATCTAACCACTTGGGAAGCTGAAAATGTGAGAGGGAAAAACTTCTAAGACTCTTTCTTACTCATAGTGAGGCACAATGGTGTGTTCCTGGTATCCCAAACTATGGGAGAGACTGACATTGGAAGGGTCGAATTCCAGAGCAGCCCAGGCAGAAATATAAGAGAGATTCCATGTCATTGGTGGGAAATTGACATGTTCCTATCCTCCCACAAATGACAAGGCTCCTAAAGTAGGCAGAATGAGGCTCAAGCCACCTGGGAGGGAAGCGAGGCTGCTTCTCAGAAATTACCATTGAAATACAGGACTAGAGGTGTGATTCAAGAGGTAGAGTGCTAGCTTAGCAATCATGAGTACCACCAAAACAAACAAAGAAAATTTGTTGCTCCTGTTAAAACATTCCTACACCCTAAGTTTGTGTCTGTGTATTAAAATGAATAGCTCAATCCCTATTGCCTGGCAGAATAAACTCTGGAATAAGATTGCTGAGCTTGATTCCTGGCTTTAATCATTTCTACACGTAGGATTCTGCTTCTGCATCTATTTAAAAAAAAAGAGATAATGGTGTATATGATCACTGTGAGGATTATGTATACAAATACTCTCAATAGTGTTTGGTGTAATACTGTTATCCTGTTTTCAATAATCAGCTTTTCACTGTCTATAGACATGTTGTAAATCACTGCTCAAAGTTTAACTTGCATACATTACAAGAGGAAATGAGAGAAATAAATAATGATCATTGACACTGAGACCTTAAGTCTCCCTTTCCAAAAATTGCTGATGAAAAATGCTTATTCTTTGGCAACCATGTCTCATCAGTGTCTGCAAGACAGCCTGCCATCAGGTTTAAACGTGAGTTCATCAGAACATGATGACTCTTGGGATTTAAAAAAAAGGAATCCTGGAAGATTTCAGATTTAATAAATGAGGCCTTTCCCATTTTAGCAACTTATTGTTAAGAAGCTCAGAAGACATTCTAAATACTCTAATTAACTTTTGACACATTCCAAGAAAGGGCAGCCAATCACTGTTTCCATTTTTTAAAAAAATATACTCCGTATTATCGAATGATTTAGCAGGACGGCTGGGCTTGTGAAAGACCCAGGCTGTCATTCAAAGAGTCATCTTGGTCTTTGAATATTTAGCATCAATTTGTGTGAGACATCATCCTCTGTTTAGGTATGGTTAAAATTTGTTTCTTAACATTTTTTACCATCTATTTTTAATCCATTAAAAAGTGCTTCTAATTTAGTCCCAAAATATTGCTTTAGATCTAATAAAAAAAATAAACATAGGGAACAGGGCATGACCGAAAGAGTCATCACTCCTGGACTGGCCTTTCTACTAGCCAGCTCTGGCTTTCTGCATGCCACGTGCCATCCCTGACTTCAGGGCCTGATCTGGACTCAGATGGAAAGAAGCAGGGCTGGAGGGTTTCCCACATAAAAGTCCTTGTGGATGTGCCATGGTGGAAAATTTATTTTATCTCAAGGTGCTTGAACTTTCCACAGACGTTTCCAAATATTAATTAATATATTCCTTAGCTACTTCGTTTCCTGTGACCACTAAGTTTTCTTGCATTTCAAGTGGCCTATAATTCTAAATATGGAATATATTGATGCCCCGCAAAGGCAAACTTTGCAAATGAAGCAAGCAAACTTTGAAAGAAAGCCATGTGGCTCCTTTCTGTCTCCAATTGTGTTTATCATCATTGGGGTAGAGTAATAAGGAATCAAAGCAATGCAAAACAGCCCCTGTACCTTCAACCTTACCATGCTCCCTACCGAGTAGCAGCTTTCAAACAGAAGGAAGATTCTACCATCTTTGTTTCAAAGGATAATTAGCTTTCCCTTATAGTTCCTTGGGGAACCCAGACCAGAGCCACCAGCTACTCACAGAAGAAAGAAATGAATGCTGTTGGGTTTAAGTCTCTGAACTCTGTTTGCAACTCAAAACAGGGCATGATAAACGTGATAGCTCAGGACATAATTTGTTGCCAAACTGTGATAAGAAAAAAATAACTGAGGAAGTGGTGCTGTAGCTCAAGTGGTAGAGCGCTCGCCTTGAGCTGAAGAGCTGAGGGACAGTGCCCAGGCCCAGAGTTCAAGCCCCACGGCCGACAAAAAAAAATAACTGAGAAAGAAATTAGAAATCTAAGAAGCCTTGAATATTGAGGTGGCAGTGAGTGGCTCAATTCTCTGCTCCTTGTGTTCAGGCCATTTTGACAACTGCTGTTTGTTTACCTGGTGAGCCAGACATGGAGTAGGCTATATACTACGTGTGTCCTAAAGGCCCGCATCACAGAACGTTTGACAACCACATCCAATAGGGACTCAATAACCTCTGGGTAGAGTTTGAACTAATTCTTATCTTCCTTCCACGTCTTTCATTTCTATTCATGCCTTGAGGGACTTCTGACTTTATCCACCGACTATGAATGAAATGAACAGTTGCTTCTTTAGTCCCTCACTTCCACTGACAAAAATCCAGATTCCTAACTATCTATGGTATTCCTTTTACTAAAATGTAAATATGACAAAATCTGTTCTATGGCGTTTTTATAGGGAGGCTGATAGATATTGGTGTTTCATGTCTCTGAGAGCTATTAGCAGGCTGCCGCAGGGAATACTGTCAGCCGTGAATGAGCACTACGTTTTCACATGTAGATTGGGTAAAGTTAAAATCACTTTCAAAATAATTTTGGCCCTATAGACACCCACCTCCCGCAAATCATGATGGACCACCAGAAACAGCACTGAATTAGATATTGAGAGACCTGAGGTCCAAGGTTATCTCAGATATTAACTAGCTCGGTGTCGTTTTTGAAGTCTCTCAGCCCTCTGCACCTCATCTATAAAAGTGGCAGTTTGAATGAGCTGATCTCTAAAGTCTCTGAAAACTTTAAAATTTCATACTTCAAAGAAAATTAGTTTCCCGGAAGGTAGTATCTTGATGAAGGAATAATTTTCCCAGCTGTACTTTTACTGCCAAAAAAAAAAAAAAGAAAAAAGAAAGAAAGAAAAGACGGACCTCTATGCACCAGTACAGGTACAGGTGAGCTCTTGATTCTAAGTTTAGCGTTATCAGATTCTTCACGGCTAAAATCACACGGCAAATGGAACATGGACCCTGACATCCAAAAGCATGCCTGTGTTGTAGAGACACAGCTTGAATCTGCAGATGTCCCTTGGGTTGAGGAGAACTCCCAAGGGACTCCTTACAACAGAATAGGGCCTATAAAACACCAATATCTATAAGGCACTATTTATTGAATTGTTATTTGTCTCATAAGATCTTTCTCAGGAGACTCTTCATATGCCTAACAATCCAAAATAAAGCCATCTGTCCTCTCCTGACTCCTGATGCCTGCAGTGTTAGCCAGGGTCTTTTAGAGTTAGGATTCCAGTGAAGTCCTGGGAATTCTGGTGCATAATTAAGAACACTAGAGTTGATTCCACAGGTACTTGTTTTCTTGTTTATCATCCCAAATGTTTTAAGGCAATGTTTGTCAAGGAGGACGGAATACATAATGTACTAATACAGATATGTGAGACCCAGAGTTTCCTTAAAAGCATCAGTAATTCCCGTGATGACTTTCATCTTTGAAATAAATGGAGGGAAGCATTGATGCAAATGAAGACAAATTCAGAGGGAAAAAAACCTCAGAACAATATGGAAATTACAGAGGAAAATGCAAACTGCCTAATTATAGATCACTATTCAAAAGGATGGGAAACTCATATCTAAGCAAGATGGAAATGTAGGCAGTATATTCGGACAAAGAAAAGAAGAAAATGAGATAATGATGTCTATGTATAGATGCATATATTATATATCACACATATAGTTAATTATTGGATCTATTAAAGGGCTGAATAAAGGAAACAAGACAATTATAACACAGTCTGAAATGAGCTACAAAAAACCTCAATATTTAAACAATCGCAATGAAAAATTGAATGCATAAAATGTGGAAAGAGATTTCTAATCCAAATATTAACTTGAGAAGAACACTTGCATTTTAGATTTTTAGAAAAAGGAACCTCAAATGACAGTGCTTTCACCAGTGGGGATTGTGAATGACTTATCCCAGGCTAGACCAGCAAAGGAAGGCTGGGGCAGGTATTCATACTACACCATTAAAAGGGATAACTCAATGCTTGCTAAAGTTGACTGACTGAAGGGAAAGGCATTAAATGGGTAGCCCCTGGAGTGAGCTAGCTACCCCTTAGCCCAGTGGGCCACCATGGTTCGATCTGAAGCAACCACAGTTCATTAAACAAGTGCTATTATTGATACCAATGTTTTATCTTCCTTAACTGAAAGGAAGAAAAGGACTTTGAACCAATGTCTTACATCAATCTATCCAGGGCTCCATTTTCTCCATAGATGCCCCAGGGCCCCTGCAGGATTTTTTGCAGGCAAATTGGCTCTTCTCAGCCACCAAACTGAAGTCCTTATTTCATCCATCTCAGTCTCCCACCTGTGGAGAAAGAATTTCCTTCTGTATAATTTGAGTGACTGGGATGTTGAATAGCTTTAGGCCATACTTTGTTCAGCACTGTTTCTGCTGGGGGGATGTGCTTTTCTTTCTGCAGAAATCGAAGATATCCACGTATGAGAAGATGTGGGCTTTCATGAGCAGTAGACAGCAGACTGCTCTCGTCAAAAACAGCGATGAGGGGATCCAAAGAGTGCTCACCACCGACTACGCCCTACTGATGGAGTCTACCAGTATTGAGTATGTGACACAGAGAAACTGCAACCTCACACAGATCGGGGGCCTCATTGACTCCAAAGGTTACGGAGTGGGAACACCTATTGGTAAGAGAAACGGACTTCAGCCAAGACTGAGTTGGCCAGTGAGAGACGGTGTGCAATGGCTTTAGCCTGCAATGACTTTATGCCACCTAATAAGAGAAATGCTTGTTAAGATCGGAGGCCTGGTTTGTACTGAAAATCCCCAGATCTTTAAGCTAACAAACTTTCATCTATTAATTTTTCTATGTTCTCCCACAATATCACTATTTAAGAGGGTGTAGATTTTGCTATTTTGCCTCCAAACAAATATGCTATAGAATGCATTTTCCCAATTAATCCTCTTCACAGTTTTTTCTTCCATTCCTGCATATCTCATTTTTCTGACTTAAATTCCTCAATTTTTAGAAAAATATTTTTTAAAATCATTATACATTTAGATAAAACTAATACTGTTTATAAAAGAGTAGTATTCTATATCAGTAAATGGGGAAGCAAAGCTGTCAGAACAAAGGAAATAGGAAGGATAAATTATAATTTGCACAGGAAATAAGTTAGGATTGAATCAATGAAACTAACAAAATCTTATTGTTTGGTTTTATAGTACTGCCCTCCCTGGAGAAATCATTGCCTGTTGGATTGCATATCTATACAGCAATATCATTTTGCTTGATAATCATAGGCATAACTAAAATATTTGTCTACAGTCAAGGGGCAATTTCTGATTTCCTTTATGTAGAAATCTTCCCATCCTGCTTGCAACTTCGTAGAAAAACTATATGGAATAAAGTTCTGTTATCAAAGCAATCTGCTCCATTCTCAAGTGAATCTTGGGTATTTGGAAAGAAATCAGGGGGCCATCTAAACTACTGCGCTAATCCAATAAGAATGATAATTATAGCCCAGTTAAATAATTGAAGGTCCAAAGCGTATTTCATTTACCTGTTTTGAGTTTTGTTCCAGTTGCTGTTTGTAAGTAAATATGTAGCCTGGTCATCAACATAAAGCAGGGGTCACAAACTGAAATGCTTAGATCTCTGCTTGAGATCAGGCATTGTGACATTCATTGGTTGAGGCTATTGTAAAGAACAATTAAGACAATGGCAATTGGTGGAATTGCCATGGAAAAGTTTGAATTCTCTAAAGATCTTTCTGCTCAATTACACATGGCGATTGGACACATTCGGGAATTTGAGGATACATTTGTTAAATATTCCATTTATTCAGGAAAAAGCTAAAGTCCAGATTTTAGGAAAAGTTTTCTAATGTTTTTAATTTGGCAACTAATTTTTTTAAAGAAAGACTGTCTATCTGCTATTCAACTTAACATTCCTCCAATCTAATTAACCAAATAAAGGTCAACTCTCACCAACATTTACTAAGAATAAATAACCAACCTGAACCTGGTTTTTGCTATCCCTATGGCATTAAAATATATGCTATGGGAAGTTAACTTTACTATTACTGTTATCCTTAATAGAATCATTTTGGGATTTGATTTTAAGGTAAAACTCTGTCATCCTCCCTGCAATCCCACCTCGTCCCTTCCTACATCCTTGACACCAGATTTCCTATCTGGTAATGATAACCAAAAATAATAAGGTATCTCACTCCTTCTGAGAACATATGTACTTCAACATGAGACCTTTACTTGGTGTTCCTTCATGTATAATGGAATATAAGAGCTAAAATTTTGCAACAGTATACTTATAATACAGGGTTATAGGTCTGAAGGAACTGGACAGTGTGTTTCTTTCTTCAACAATGTAAAAGAATACTTCTTAATCACTGTAGTGATTAAGAAGCATTGAGAAACCAATGTCTGCCTTCATGTGAGGCTGATTCAGTGATGAGCATCACCAGATAAGTAAGTGGATAGATAGATAGATAATCTATAAATATATATCACATATAATGTGCATATTAATATAAAGAGATCTGAATGTACCCGTTCAGTCTCTCTTTGGCCAATACTACCCACAAGTTCCAAAGTTAAAGAGCCTTGCCCCATCCCTAGATAAAAAGAAAGATATGCCAAGAATTTTTCATAGTGGTTATAAACCTGTCATGCTTTTAAACAAAAAACAATGAAAGAATAATTGGAACAGATGGCAGATCTCAGAGAGAATACATCCACTGGGAATACAGCTGTTGGATAAATTTGTGAGATGTTTCTGCTATGATGAATTGACTCTTTGAGAAAGATCAGTTGCTATTCAGGAAGATCCGTGTGTATGCATATACATTTCTTTTCAAGTGACTTAGATTAAGTCACTTCTGATGTCATTCGGTCCATTTAAACAATAACAAAGACTACATGAAAGCATATGCAGAAATTTTAAGTTTCTAGTCTTATTCAGAGTCCCTGGAAGCTCCAGACTCTCTCTTGGTAGAAGACTGGATCCAGTCACAACACAAAATTTAAAACTTTGCTTCTTAGAGACTCTCAGGACAGAAGCACTGCAAATGTGCCTCCTGAGGGTTTTAAAATAAAACTTCAAGAGAATGAGAGCAGTTGAGGTTTAAACAGGTTACCAGGAGCCAGGAAATTGCCTTCCTTAGAGACCACCTTTAAGCAGAGATTGGCTTTCCATCGTCTGAAATGTTTTAGGTGTTGTGCAGCCTGAAGGCAGAAGGAGAGAGTCAGTCAACATTTATTGAGTGCCCACTGTGTATACTGTTCTGATTATTGCACTCTCCACTGCTGTAAGACTCATTCTCACATTACTCAAAGCACTTGCATGGACCTTAAAGCAAAGCACTCCTGGGTCATTCCGTCACTTACACACTATGTTTATGCTAATGGTACTAATTTTGACTCTGTTATTCTGGTGATGCTTAAGCAAACATCTGATATATGTTAATTTGTCTCTCAAGGCCTATTCTCTCACTACAAATTCCTCCTCTTAAATGATAAGGCATAATCTCTCTCCAAAGCAGTTTGCTTTTCTTGACTTTAAGTGTCACGATCATTTTTTAAGTATTAGGAAGAATTGACAAAATGTTCAACTTTAGATTTTTTTTAATCATAAGCCATGCCACAGGATGTAAGTTATATGTGGGCCTGGGAGGAATGGTACAGAAACACTTTTAGGAAAATAACACTGAGAAATAAAAAGAAGATTTAAGTTTGATTCTTGGTTCTGCAAGTCATATAACAAGTGAACTATATGAAGTCATAGGACTACTTCTTGCCTTATGATGCCTAGGTTTTTTTAAATTTGCTTCAATCAAGAATGGCATTAAATTTATAAACAGAGATATTCAGTATCCAATATGGTCTTATTGAATAGAAGAAATGAAAGCAAAAGCTCTTTTACCATCTAAGGAGAATACGAGTTAAGGAATCTTGATCTGTTTCTCCTTTGCATTGATTAATATAGGAATGCAATCTGTCTACAATTAGATGTTGGTACCTTGTAACTCTTACATGATTAAAAGTTCAGTGTCATTACCAAAAGATAGAACATAAGTATTTCCACCAAAGTCCTTGCAACTGAATTTTGTAAAACCATTGAAGAATGAAAAACCTGTCCTCAAGTGTATTTGATTGGCACACTTGTCAGTATGGATGAACAGCTATAAATAACATCTGCTCCTTTTCAGTAGCTTACAGAGTAAATGTTTATTGCTTGATCTTCTCATAGTGCAATATGAACTGAAAGATAGACTCTGCGCTACTCAGTTATCCTAGGCCCCAAGTTCCTTTTATTTTTATGGCTCCACCATCCTAGGTAACTTGAAGGCTTTTTCTTACTTGGTGTATATTTGTTAGAAAAGAGAGAATACAAGATCCTGTTAGGAAGATTTATGATGTAAATCTAAAACTGACATATGTCATGTTAGCTTTCATTGACCAGAAATCAATGGTGTGACTTACTGAACTATAAGGGACACTGGGAAATATATTGAGTTACTCTTGTAGGAAAAAGATAAAATAGCCAGACACAATCATAATGTGAGAGAGCCAAAAGCCTAGAAGGAAATGAAATCTAAACAGAAAAACAATTTGACATGTGAAAAAAAAATTCACAAAGAATTCACCAGAAACAGAAATATGGCACAGAATTCTTAGCTATCTCTCAAAGGAGTAAATATTACAAACCAGAGTGACTCTCAACATGTCCGCCATTCCCTTCCCAGTCATTTAGGATCAGACATTCCTTACCTGGGCTAATGAATCTGTGAGTCTGATTTTTTTTCACAACCGCCCAAAGGAAGTATTTGCTACTGACATAGTCAAATTCTCTGACATCTTCTCCAGTGACCACTGTTCCCGATGACCTCACTTGCAGGCTCACCTTACCGGGATAAAATTACAATTGCTATTCTCCAACTCCAAGAAGAAGGGAAACTGCACATGATGAAAGAGAAATGGTGGCGTGGAAATGGCTGCCCTGAAGAAGAGAGCAAAGAGGCCAGTGCTCTGGGAGTAGAAAATATTGGGGGCATTTTCATTGTTCTGGCTGCTGGACTGGTCCTCTCTGTCTTTGTTGCCATTGGAGAATTTATATACAAATCACGGAAGAGCAATGATATTGAACAGGTGAGTCATCTCTTCCTAAGACCGGGGAGTTTTTCATTTGAATTATCTATGTTAAGTTTCTGAGGATTTTAAGGATGCTTGCCCTTCTTTGGTAACAGTCTATTGAATTAGATGCCCAAAAGAGCCATTTTTGAGTTAGAGCAAAGAGCTATTGAATCTCTGCCAGGTGCTGCTGGCACTGTAAGCTCCATCATTTATTAATGAGAAGAAGGAAGAGCTTTATACACTAAATCCAATTAGCACTATTTGGAATGACAGGGCAGAAATTCACAAACTCAGTTAATTTCTCAAATAGTTATTTGCTCTTAAGATGGAAACTTTAGAAAAAGCAAGGAAGACATGAATCCAAAATTAGAGAAGGGATTTGAGAAAAGTGTTACCAGCCCTAAAGAGTAGATTGTGAATACAAGTACTAATGCAAAACAATTTATATAAAAACATAAATGTAGCATTTTGAAATCGAGAGTTTATTTCTATAATAGTACAACCTATAAAAAGCTGATTCAATCCATTTTTTTGGCAAGAATATAACAAATAACAGAAAAGATGTTTTTATATTCTTACTTTTCAAATTTCTATTTTGGATTATAAGATGATTTCAATAGTTAGCTATTTTGGGCCTATTTTATTGTGAAAGGAACTTCAAATAGGAATTTAGACTTTCTAAATATTATAATTGAGATTTAAGATCATTCCTTTATTGTCATTCATAAATCAAATGCAAAGCCCCTTTAAACATAGTACAAGAATTGTGATACTACACACTATTAATAACAGACATAAATGTTTTGCTATCACTACCTTGAAATTCTTAGCAATTGTTTTAAGAAGTGGCCTCATAGCTTCTTTTTTGTGCTAGGCCATACATATTACATTGCTGGTAATGATTAATAATTTGATATTAAACCTACTTCCTATAAGTGGAAGTTGTCTTGTAAGCAACCAAAAACTGGGAAATATTTTTTATACCCAAGTTCTATGCTGAAAGCCCACCCCAGAAATGCAAAGCAATAGTGAAGGTAGAGAACACACGTTTACTGGTATTCATCATAGAAAATGTTCTTTAATTAACAGGAAGAATGGACTGATCTGCTTTGTTCAAACTTTTCAATTTGCTCTGAGTTGTCTTGTTTATGCTACTAATTTGAAAAAAAAAAATTAAAGCTTGTATATATTATGCTTTAATGTGCTTCTCATTATTGCCAGCTTCATTTGATTTAAAATTTTCATTTGAACATGCATTCATGCTTTTAATTTATTCATTTTTCTATATTTTTCCATTTCTTTTGCATGCAAGGCTTTTTGTTTCTTTTATGGACTGCAGTGTAAACAAACCCACCCAACCAACTCTGCTTCCGGAACTACTTTATCTACGGATTTAGAATGTGGCAAATTAATTCGAGAAGAGAAAGGGATCCGGACACAGTCCTCTGTCCATACTGTGTAATCCGTTTCTGGGGGAGGGGGAAAAGGTGTACCCAATAGAAATTGCTTCTTTTAGTTGGTGTCATTGATTGTATCTTCTAAGCCATGACTCCTTGTCCATTTATGTTAGTGAACTCTTGTACACTACCCCAAACTGTGTGTTGTGTCAGGGTTGCAATAGGGTTATATAGACTTCCAGTTGTATGTATATACATGAAATGATCTATATAAAATATTCATCTTTGCTTTACCTTCAATCATTAAAAGTGATGAATTGTGAAATAGGAGATTTGGACTTTGAACAAGGCAAAAAAATGATAATTTTCTGGGCTCTTTTCATCTTTGTGTGCTTTCTTTCCTTTTCCTTATCCAATATATTCTTTTTTTTTCTTTTTCCTTTTTCCTTTCTTTCTGTTGGTAGTGGGGCTTGAACTCAGGGCCGGGAGCTGTCCCCTAAGCTTTTTCACTCAAGGCTAGTGCTTTACCACTTTCAGCCACAGCTCCACTTTCGGTTTTCTGGTGGTCAATTGGAGATAAGAGTCTCAGAGACTTCTCCTGCCCAGGCTGGCTTTGAACTGTAATCCTCAAATCTCTGCCTTCTGAGTCATTATGTTCTTTTAACAGACACACATTTCAACCTTTCTGAAGCCCTTGTCTTTTCAATATATGCGCACATAACAGTTAATTTTCTTAATTCAAATATATTTCCCTATTCAAAAGGTACTATTTACACAAAGACTCAAACTTGGGTTAGATCTTAAAAATTCAAAAGACTATGATCCAGAGAGTTATGAACTTGACCCTCTGAGTACAGAAGAGCATTATGTAAGTTGAACATGACAGAACACAGTCAAGAAAGATTCCTAAATAAAAATATAGTAACATCAAGTTCTGAAATTCTGTAGATCCAGAATCCCAAAGGAACTGATTTATTTCAAGCTATATATTATTTTTTTTGAAGATTCAGGCAAAGTCCTAAGCTGTGAACTAATCCATAGCATCTCCGATTTACTGCTTGCTTGCCCTTCCTCTTTGCATAGATTGACATCTTTCTGTGAGACATTCTTTCATTTCTTTCACACTCAGCTAAGATAGAGTGGTTGCTCTTAGGACAATCTTTTCTGAGCATTGCCACATCCACACTCATTTCTCCGGATCCATCACCATTATTAATGTATTCGAAATGTGCTGGGGAGAAGGGAAAGGAGCAGAAAATAGAGGAAGGAATTTCCATACGCATTAGTTACAGATCTCTGTGGATTTATTTTCTACCTGCATTCAAAGCACTGTAAATAATTTCCACACTAACTCAACTTGGTGACAGAAAAAGCCAATTGCATATGTAATTTGCTGTGACAAGGAATGTCTGCTGGTCCCTCTCTGCTTGTTTTCCCCTTCACAGGGAGCAGGGAAATTGAGGTTGACTTTTCTCTCCCATCACACCCTGGATCCATCGGTCTCTGTTCTCCTTAATGGGATTACTTCTTGATCTATCAAGTGACCCTTGAAAATATATTCCTCAGAAGTAGAGGTTTGCCATCTGTGTGTGGGTCAGGTTACGTTGACTTCTCTTTGCTTAGCTTTAAATGGTTCCCAGTTTTGAATTACAAATCTCCTCAACTAAGCCAATTTCTCTTCAGTAAAACATAATCAGAAAACTTGGTTCTTGCCATGATTGCTTCTAAATCTTGTCTTCTTTAAATAAACATACTCTTAAGGGAATATCAATAAATTATGGTACTACATATTTACTATTATTGAAGTAGAAGAAATACAATATTTTTCCATGAGTCACAATTCATATTTTCAACCTCAAATAGAATCAGATGCTGGAACAAAATGCAATTCTTAGTACCATATTTTATTGCTTCAGTATATAGAAACCACAAACTACTTCAACTTATTTTCTAAGAACTATGGGATATACCAAATATATTACTAAAAAGTTTGTAGGTGATTAAATAAAATATAGAAAATAGGGTTAAACAACAGCTAACAAAACTTGCCTTCTGTAGACAAAAATCATTCTTACAATTTTTAATTTAGAGATTTAGATAAATGATAACTTCTTAAAGTTTATGCACTACTTTTAGACTATACACCACCTAATTCTGATTTTTATGTGCTATCATGATTTTCAAAAATATCATCACATACAGCGTTACATCTGGTCCTTCCAGCAATTTTAATTCAGCTTTACTAACAGAGGAACAGATATCTGGATCCATGACCCAGAATGAGAAACATTAGAATCAGAAGACAATTTTATAAATCAATCAAATTTCAGAAAGAGTTCAACCAAAGTGAAGTGACTATTGCTAAGTTACGGAATATCTCAGAAACAGTAGAATACCATTTGTAGAAGATAAAGTTACTTTCAAGGAGTATCTTTCAAAAATAGATGTCATTGGCAGGTATTTCCCAGTAAGAGTTTCACAGTTAAAAACCCAGAAAGCACCATACTAGACCTCCCCTTATCACATTTTAATTCATACTGTTCAATACATTGTCATAGATTAGGGATTTCCAACAAGCAAGAAAACTCTTCAACATTGCCCAAGCTATTAGATCACAGACACTTTTTCTTTAGAGCATCTGAATGGAGCAGTGTTACACAGATGATCCTCTAGAGATCGTGGTAAAGAAAATGTGTATCTAACCCATTAATAACATGCAAAACATCTTACACTGTATGTGGCTCCCCATCATGCATTATTTGGAGTAAACTTTTCACTTCTCTGGACCTCAGTTTCCTTATTTGTAAAGCAAAGATACAGCGGTTCAATTTCTACATTTACCATGAGAATTCTATCATAGGATAGAAAAGGAAACACTGAGTTCACCTCAGCAGCAGATCTATTAATGGTCAAGAAGTACTGAACCAATCATCTAAATACACATTGTATACATAATTGGAACTAAATAAATAATTGCTACTTATCATTATTACATTTTACTCTAAAGGTAATACCACTAATTCTGTTATATATAGAAAGAGATTATATATTATATAATATACATTATGTATACAATTAATATATACACAGACTATATATGTATACAGACATACATATATACCAAAGTATTGAGAGGACTCTGCAGACATAGAAATCAAGAAGAAATTACATATCTCAAGATAGAAATTTCAAGACATTCAAGTGATCTTTATGTTTACTCATAATACATAGAAAGGGTCCTATTCAATATAATCAAGTACACCATTCATTGTCTTTGTAAGTTCTTTATCCTTTTCAGTTTCTCCTTCTCTCTTTATACTTTCCTGTCTGTCCTTTTGTCTTAACCCTCAAGCAGCCAGTTCTTGCTAACATGTAAATAACTGCTCATTCTACAGTGACCCTACAATGGTTCACTGCATATCCAGTGAAATTTAGAACAAAATTTTCAAGCTCTCTTTGCATCTTAGTTCTTAGACTTCAGTATAAGTCAGAATTGCCTGAGGAAGTTGCTTATAACTTTCAAGGTCTATCTCTTGACTTTTCTCTAGAGATAATCTAGGAATAGTCTGGCAGGTATGTATAGTCTAGGAATCTACATTTGCAATAAAGCCTGAAAGT